GTTAAGGCCAGTTTGGAGATGAGAGGAGAAGACAAGGATTAAACGAGGCTCGTTCCGTACCGACTAGCTATAGCATGCTCAGTCGATGATTGATGATAATTGATGTTCGACTGATTTGTTTTCTTTTCGAAAGCCACCAGCGGCAGGTTGTTGCATGTCGCCGCTGGGAATACCTGCTTTCTGCCCACCACCGAGTGATCAGTCAGTCCATCGACCAGCGCACGCGCGCGCCACGATTCCTTCTTAGATAAAACACAGGCTAAAAATTTCTTCTTAGATAAAAACAGGCTAAAAATTTCTCTTGTACACATGCAGCTTGCAGGCTTCCGGAATATCTCGGAAAGTCTCTTTGCAGATGCTGGTTTTTTTCTTGAAGACTTCAAAATTAACAGACGGTATAAATTACTTGCAAATGAACAAAATTCGTCAGGATGATACCGAAAAAAATGGCCATATTCACGTTTAAGGCACATTTGAAGCATGGTACATTTAGTACGCATATGTAGTTTTCTTTCTTTTCTTCATGCCGTCTTTCTACCCTTTCAGTAGTGTCAGCTAAAAGGAATGCGAGTTCCAACAAACGAAGGGGCGCCATGTGCCTAGGAAGGACTGATCTCCGGTGTCACATTTACATTTTGTATCCTGAAGGGAGATGGCCGTTGCGTACTTGGAGACGCTCGTGGAAGTGGAACTGAAAAATCGGTAGTTAAAGCCAACCAAATGATTCACTGTTTGTATTCGGAGGCCTAATGACATTTACCCCATCAAAATGAGGCCTGACGAAGTTGAAGGTGCTACGAAGGAGCGGAAATCCTCAAGACTCCCGCCATGCGCGACACCGAGTCTGCAACCGCAACCCCTCTCACCATTAGATTCAGTGTATCTCGTGTTGATGAGATGAATGGGTGCAGTGAGAAGATTGTTCTGATCTAAGTGGCCCCTCCCGAGCCACATAGCCTCCTCAATAGCATTACATATGTTTATTACGACTAGACGTGTTTCGCATAGTTCGCATGCCCTACAAACGATAACTGTCTTTCATAGGTCTATCGAGATTAGAATGAGTCATTATGAAACCTTGAACTGGCCTGCACTGGTCAATGATCTGGAATGTCGCTCGCATTCATCTTATGCAGAGTCTAGCACGCGATAGCGTAGGGGTTATCCAATCAGTTGCCGGACCTGTTGCTCTCCCATGCAAGTTTGATGCCCGATAATCAGCTTCAAAAGGATGAAACTAAAAACAATAAACGAAAAAAACCAGTCCTGATTGGGCAATATCAAATACATGCATTGTGCAGGTGAACGTTACGTCAACTTCCGCTCGACCATCCACGTTCACGATAAACGATGGAAGGGACTAAATGTGCACCGTTCTCTCTATTTTTATTTAATACCAAGAGTTTAATGTTTGCCTGTGCAACTCTTGCCCATCTTGAACAGGATAGCAGCACGGTCACGCGTGTGTCATGCAGGTGTCAGCAATGTGCAGAGCAGTGGCAACCTGGCGCAGTTTTTTGCACTCTTAAATATTTATATATTTATTGCATGCACCATAGGCACATGAAGCAACATGGAACAACTGTAAAAGCAACAAAAAGCTAACTGACAAATTTGACCTTGCAAAGTTCAGTACAATCGCCTTGTGATAATTAATAAGAAAACTCAATAAACAGGTAAAAACAACGCTAAGGGTAAAAAACTTGCGACACCTAGACCAGCCTCCTTAATATCAACTAGTTTCAGAATGAGATTAGTCCGTAGTACCCTCAAGTCAAAGTTTATGCAGAATACTTTTATTAGCTGAGCCCCTAATTCCCAGGCCATTAACTGCTTTCTTCGAAAAACTTCACTCTTGCTACTTCCCATCGACAGGTCGACTTGATAGACACCCTCTTCTCTAGTTGGAAGGTCTTACCATGATGGCTTGACGACTTGTTTCTGTCCACAAAGTTCACAGGGTGTTCACCACAGTGAGACTTGGCTAATCGACTTAGGAAGCCAGCTAAATGACCAAATACCCCCCCCCCCCCGTTAGCCAAACTGCCGCCCCAGCCAGCCTAGCCGAGCAATGCCCACAGTGTTTTTCCTACGCCACGCATTTCTCCTCCGCAAACGGACTAATGCAAAATCAGTGCCCAGAGGTAAATAAAGCCTATCCTAAGCTACGCCTTGATCAAACACGACAAGAAAACGCTCACGTTGTCGCGCCAATAAAGCTAAAGTAGTAATATAACAGCATAAATAACCATAAATAAATAAAAAAATAAATAAATAAATAAATAAATAAATTGTCTGTATTTGGTTCGTATATCCATAAGCCCATATTCCAGTAGATGTGACCGCGTGGAAGTCGTGTACGTGGCACTCCAGGGAGACTGACCAGCGCCTTCGTTCCGATTCCTGTTCAGCACAGATAAGAGGTCGACTGGACAATGTTAAAAAGGGACCTTCTAGCTGGAGCTGAAGCACATTCTTGAAAACCCGCGAAGGGAGAATTTTTGCGATAGTAGGCATACAACAAAGGCATTATGCGCTATGGAAAAAATCTTTCTGTCCGAATCTGTGTAGGTCATAATCTATGTGTCAAAAAGAAATCAGCAAAAGTTTTAGGTTTATTTTGGCAATTATCCACGGCTGCGAATTTCTGCTATAGTACAACTCCAACAAAAGGTTGTATTCAAACCGACGAACCGATTGATTATGTTAGACTTCCTTGCGCTTGCAGGCCCAAGGCCAACTTGCGTCGACGTCGCCACTGAGTTTGGTGTCAGTAATGAGATGAATTAGTGAGCGCACCTTAGGAAGAACAAGGGTGTGCCACGATAAAACGAAAGGCCCGACTTTTTGGGACTCGAGGAATAGAGAGCCCAGAGTAGAGCTGCTCAGCACAATCTTTCATCTTGGCTGGGACCAGCCTGCGAGCCGTAGAAGATAAATGGGCTAATCCTGGTGGAAGTGTATCACACATAGTTGTATCGGTCATCGAAAGGCTGACTACGACCCCAATGTCCAAAACATCACACTGGAAACCGACCTGTGACTCCGAAATCTTCAGAATACTCGCCAAAGGCATACCCTACATACATGGCGACATTTCTGATGTTCAAGGCAGTTCTCCTAAAGACCGGGGTCGCACTTGTTGTTGTCGCCATTGAAGAAAGCATTAAGTCGTTTTGGCTCTAGAGAAATGCCGTAAAAAGTCTAAAAATCGGAAAATGTGAGCATTGGATGGCCCCGCACTCAATGAAATTAGCCCAATGTTGGGAAATAAAATTACGTACCCAAATTGCGTGGCGCCTCATATTCAATGTCAAATCTTGCAGTTTGTTGGGAATATGATAGATAACTATCGAAATTTAGTGTGAATCGGTTGAGTAAGAAAAAATTAAGCCGATGAACGATTTTGGCGACTGTACCGTTGCTATATCTACTCCAAGTCGGAGAATTCGCGAACTTCAAGGGAGTCATAAATAGCGAGCGACGCCAAAAACCATAAATCTCATGTAATGACACACCTCGAGCTCTTCTTTATCGAAACCTAGGATAGCCTCACGATAATAGAGAATTCACACATGATTTTCAAGCCAATTTTCTAATTTATTGAGAAAAACTCCATTGAGCGGGATGCACTTTATCGTCTCCATCCATTTTTCCAGCCATAGGCTAGGACTCCATGCGTGAGATGGAAGAGATTGCAAGGAAATAGGAAGAGGGCGCATCATTGTGAGGGCGCGGTGTGGATGATAGTGGTCACCTACATCGCTTGTTGTTGAATGTAGTCGGGACTATATGTAGCTCTAACTTATCCATAGAGTTTTCTTTGACTCTCAAGGAACGCCTCTACAACAATGCCAGGAGAAAACTGTAGTACCTGCTCGCGTGAGAAAATACAGAAGCGTGATTCTTGTAAGAGACGATCTCAGTCTCCCAAAGAAATTTGAAACCCAAGATTTTTTGGAATTTTCAAATGACATTTTGGAGATTCCGCTGCGCGGACGAGTGTTTCGATGGCTAGATTTCTTGTTCATTTGACATCTATTTCAATTTCCGCTTCAGTGTAACTTGAACACTTCACTATGCTCCTATAAGCTTCTCTAAGCTAACCGAGGTGCATCTTCTACTGGTAACCACGAAATAAATTAGGATAAATTCAAAAATATCCATAGACCAGTCAAGTTTTGTGCAGCTGTCGGTTTAAGGCAAAGCGAAGCACTTATACTGTCACAATGAAAACTGCCTGGAGTACGTCTAACCAGCTATCCTTGGAAGCATTTTTCCTGAAGATTCACTCCAACTGGAGCGAACCCACCAAAATGCCAGGTAGATATATGTAGCCCACTTTGGAACGGGTTCTCCCACTTAAGGCGCACGACCTTGTACGTTGTATAGTGAAGTGTTCTAACAATGCAATTTCTTGATTTTGCGATCACCTGCCGCCGACGACAAGGGTTTTGAGAGACGGGCCCCGCGCTGACGGATGGCTTTAGGGTCCGGTAAGCGCGGCGGATCTATCGAGTTTATCGCATCTCGTCGCTCATATATAAAAGGATACCCATTCAACCAACAACTCACCTTCCGTTTGGATTTCCTTTACTCCCCTTTTGAATGTTCCTCTAGCTCAAATATTATATGCGATATTTTAATCCGGGCTCCTGAGCACATTTCGATTACGGGCCATTGTTTCTAGGTCATTAACTGAAGGGACGCAACCAGCATTAGCGCATTTGCTCACCTTCCAAAGTAAACTTGCGCAGCATATCTTCAGATGAACCCTTTTACAGCAGCTTTTGAGGGCATCTTGACTTGAGAAACTCTAACTGGCTTTTCACGTATGTGGCACTCCTTCCAGCCTTACGCAGAGGTTTTAGGTCTTTCCTAGTTCCTTGTTTAAAGAAGGCACCCACAACCTCATCGGTATTTTACATCGTTACATTGTTTCGTTGTGTCGTCAACTATTATCTGCTTTCCAATTATAAACTTCAACTTCGACAATTCAGATGAAGTATTTGTGCCTGGCCTTAGGGCTTTTCGCCCTTTCGGCGCTCTCATTCGCTGAAGAAGAGGTTGGTAACTTTTGAAGAAATGTCTCTTTTGTCGCCAAGGAAGGCAACAAGCAAATTACTTAATCACTGGAGTTTATACTGCTTCATTATAGCTTTCCGAAACCGGTCAAGCCGTTCTGGCAAAGATCAGAGCTCTAAAGGAGGAAGAGAAGCAGCTCCTGAAATCCATCACTGATGAGGATCAGAAGGACTTGGTAGGTACATTGCG